AGACAGCTAGTGGTAAGCGGCTGCATAGCACACGGAGATCAGCTGGATGCTTTGTGACCACCTAGAGGGGTGGGATAGGGAGGGTGGGATAAGGAGGGTGGGAGGGAGAGCAAGAAGGAGGGGATATGGGGATATATGTACACATACAGCTGATACATTCCCTTTGTTATACAGCAGAAACTAACACAACATTGTGAAGCAATTATACTCCAATAAAGAAGTTTAAAAAAAAAACACAGACAAAAATTAAAAAATCAAAAGAAAATAAGAAAAAGTACAAATGTAATAGGTTTTTATGTTTAGAATTTATTGCAGTTACACCCATTTCACAATGGGCATACTTCACATGTAGTCATATTTTATCTCCTGCCTTCAGAATCATTTCACCAAACTGCAGATCAAATATAGTGATAATAAGGGTCAGGAAGGACATAATATTTTATTGAACAGAACGAAGTTACCGTGAGAGATCATTCCTTTTCCTCGTCTTATATATCTTTTTAGTTCAAGAAATATTTTAGCCATTATGGTCTTTGTCAAAATTTTAAAATATATTCTTTAAAAACGAGAGAACCAACAGCAGTCTACCTTCTATTCCAATACAATGATGGATTTTAAGAAGGTATGGCCCAGACTTAAGAATTTGTGGCTAATTATGACATACAAACCAACCAATGAACAGTTTTGTGTTTTGATCCAGTCAGAAAGCTTATTGAAGAAAGAAAAAGCACACAAAGACATTCATTATTCAATACCTTGAAAATCTTTCTATGTGCCTCCCTCAACTACCATGTGCCCAAAGCCTGTCTTTCTCTCCATATGGCCGTGTCTTCCTTTAATCCTAAACGAGCCTATTTGCTGGAGGTTTAGCAGGAGAGGCTGACCACCCAGTCTTAAATACTGGGCCCTACTGGTTCATTTCCTGGCCAGGCCTACTCTACCAAGGTGACAATGGCTTAAGCATCATTGTGTTAATTTCACAGCATGGAATATGGTCCTAGTAGCTAGAACTAGCAAACAGGAATCACATTCAGCTGTTAAACCCAGGAAAATGGTAAATCCTTCATGAGTATAAACGTAGTTTATGCCATCAGTCTAATCTGAAGGGTAGTCATTAGAAGAACATGTTTGCTTTTGTCTCCCATGGAATAAAAGTCCCAGAGATTGTTGCTAGCTGTGGCTTTGGCAATAAAATCCTTCATTTCTCATTGTTCTGCCAAAGCTGATTAGAGTAGAAGATCATCTGTGTGGGTTAAATGCTGTGCTCTTTTACTCTCTACACAGAGCACCAGGCTTAACATATATTCCCTTTCAGAACATCCACAGAATTACTTAACTGTCTAGAAAATAATGTTGGCATTTTTCTCTTGACAGTTAGATGGGCTGCATTTAAAAGATGTGAAGGAAGGACCTAGAAAATGGAATCACTGCAAGAGTCTTATCTACAAAAGTGCCTTCTAGCAATTTCCTCTCTGGGCTCAGGGCTCCTGGATTACCTTTTAAATTTTTACCTTATGTAGGAGACTGTTTCATGGCAAATGAAACTTATGGATTAGTTGACCAGAACATGTCATCTTTGAAGGTCTCTCTGTATGTTTAAAGTATTTTATTACATCTATTTCCATTATGTTTCTCTAGTTTGATGGCAAAATGAGGGAATAAAGTAGAAAAAGTTACTACTATTATTGTTAACTTTTTGTACTGATATTTTATTTGCCTAACAAAAATCAGAGTAATGGACTTTTCTATCACTGCTTTAGACACTGAGTTGTAAAGAACTGAGGGTTTTCTAGCCTTGTAATCCTTTTCACAAGGTAGTAAATTATTGGAGGCTTGCTGAAAAGTAAACATAAAAGTCAAAGCATATCATTTTTCAGCACTTCTTTTGATGAAATGCTGATATCATTTGTGAACAGGAATTTCACACATTTTCTTTTCTGACTTGGCCTTTGAAAAAGTAGCATTAATTTGTCACATAGCAAGTGGTGCAATGCTGCCTGAAATCTTTTTTGGACCAAGATGAAATATAAATAAATACATTTAAGAATATGGTGCAGTAATGTAGATAATTGTGCACAATTTATTGCCATTTTATATATTACCCACATTTTGCCTTATAAATAAAATATGAATAGCTGCACCACTGTCTTTTCAATTCATACATTTTTGGTATACTTTCTGAATGCTAGAGTCACTATTGGATCATTTAATTCAATACATTTAAAATAATGTCCCAATCCAAAAAACTTTAGACTGCAGCAAAGGGCTTTCTTTCTAGAAACTTGACATTGAATTTTATTTCCATTTAGGTATTAATTCAAACCTTGGATCACCTCTTCTATTTTATTCTATTCTTGCCTGGATTATGGAAATGAGAGTAGCACTGATTTCAGCATTTGAGATTAGGATTCTTCAAATCTGCCAAATCTTGCCAGTGCACCCCGCTAAGTCAGCCCCAGGCAGGCTGCAGAGTGTGCTCCCACATGTGGTTTGGGGACAAGAATGAGCTCAGCAAGCCCAGTCTATTTATTAGATTGATAGAACATACGGATCTCCCATTTCATTGCATTGCTCCTTGGTTTTTAGCAAAGTAATTTAATTTTTATAATTGGCAAAGCAATACAGTAATTTACCTGTCCCAGTGAGTATGCTTAGTGAATGTGTACTCAGCTGTTTAAACTCTCACCTAGCCTTCCTGTATTAGGAGGATATTGAAAGAGACAAGCTATCTACTGCTGTATCCAAAGGCTACTTGTGATAATTTGCCGCAGTTACAGAGATACTTATGTTTTTACTTGGATTCTAAGGAAGCTTTATTCAAATACCCATTTTTTCTGGACCAGATACTATAAAGCTTCCTACACAAGTTTACATCACTCTAAGCAAAATTAAAATGTGAAAAATCAGCATTTATACAGCAGCTTGGGAACACAGAAACTCTCTTCTGTGATCACACTTCATCACTTCCTACCCTTCCCACTGAATCATCAGGGCTTCAGGCTGTTTGCCGGCACTCAGGCCACACACAGCCCTTGCCATTCTCCCAATGCGTTAGTTCCCAAAGGTCTTCACTGCTTGTCATTCCCAGCCTGAGCCCAAGGTTGTTCATTTCAATTCTGTCCTTTTGGATCTTTGACTCCTCTAACCATGCCAGTTCACAAATCTGGGCCAGCCCCACAATCCACAGATCAGAACACCCAACCTCTAACCCTGTTGATTGGATCCACAGAGATCCTTGACTTTAACCAAACCCTCTTTACTTCCTGGAAGCCCTTTTATTAATTTCTTTTTGAGTCCTACTGTATTTTTCTAGATCAGCGCTGTCCAATAGAAATATAATATGAACCACATATGTAATTAAAAATTTTCTAGTGGTCACATTAAAAAGTAAAAAGAGGGCTTCCCTGGTGGCGCAGTGGTTAAGAATCCGCCTGCCAATGCAGGAGACATGGGTTTGAGCCCTGGTCCGGGAAGATACCACATGCCGCGGAGCAACTAAGCCCGTGCGCCACAACTACTGAGCCTGCGCTCTAGAGCCCAAGAGCCACAACTACTGAGCCCGCGTGCCACAACTACTGAAGCGCGTGTACCTAGAGCCTGTGCTTTGCAACAAGAGAAGCCAGCGCAACAAGCAGCCCAAGCACCACAACAAAGAGTAACCCCCGCTTGCTGCAACTAGAGAGAAGCCCATGCACAGCAACAAAGACCCAATGCAGCCAAAAATAAATAAATAAATAAATTTATTTAAAAAAATAAGTAAAAAGAAACAGGTAGAATTACTTTTGATAATACACTGTATTTAATCCAGCATATCTAGAGTATTAGCCTTTCAACAACAGAAAATCAATATAAAAAGCATTAATGAGATACTTTTTTACGTCCTTTTTTGTACTAAGTCTGAAATCTGACATGTACTTTACACTTGCAATATGTTTTAATTGAGACTAGCCACATTGCAAGTGCTCAGTAGCTACTGTGACTCATCACTACTATATTGAACAGCGCAGGTCTGGACCTCTCCTAATCTCTTCAAGCTCTACTCCTATTCTCCTCAGTCTCAGGGGGACCTCATGACTCATTTTCCAGGGAAAACTTGAATAAATCTACCCCGAGCCACTTGATATTATACCCTATCCACCTCAACATATATCTGTAGCCACACCAATACTTTGACGAAATGTTTCTCCATCCTTCCCCACCCTGTCATTCTTTTTCCTTCTTTGAAAAGAAAGAGCTGTGACTGATCCCATCCTTCCCCACCTTCTCTGAGACTTTGCTCAAACAAATATCTTTTTTTGATAAGGATCAGGATTTATCAAGAGGATTTTGATAAATCCTCTTTTCGGGGATCTTCACTCCTCCCTTTTCACTAACATTCCCAGGTTTGCTCAACCTTAAGATTTGCTTGTTGCTACTCCCAAAACTACCATTTTCTTTTCTATCTTCTTTATTACTTTGAACTTCCCACCACTGACCCAAACCTTTACAGTAGGGCTTCCATCCTCACCAGCACCTAACACCACTCTCCCCCCAGTTCTGAGTGACTCCCCAGTCTTCAAAACCAGTGGTCCTTTCTCATTTCCCTCATTGCATCTACCGCATTCCACACTGTAGCCTACCCCTTCTGAAAGGTTCCTTCTTCTTTACTGCCAACCCCTTTCTTCTGGAAGTTTCCTTCTTCTTGACTGCCCTAACCAACACTCTTGTGGGACCCTTTCTAATACCCAGACGGGACTCCTTTTACAGCTTTACTCAATCCTTTGAATCCTTAACTATGGTTCATCCCTTATTACATCTGTTAGTTTCTCCTCTCTTGGAGGTTTTCTCTACTTTCATGGCTTCAATCATCATTTCTACTCAGAATACACCCAAATGTAAATATTCAACCCTCTTAGCTAAATGCCATTCCTGCACTTCCAATTCTTTACTGTACATATCCATCTGAATATCACATGGTTATTACTGTCCGTTTTAACTCAGGGCTACTGTGACAAAGCCTATAAAAAGAAATCATTTTATTTCCAAGCCTCTAAAAAATTAATAAGTATTGTGTGTAATTGTCAGTTACATCTCATTTGTGATCCCTGTCCCATCTCTGCCCCAGGCTGTGTCAAGATGCCCTGCTTGATGTCATCACAGCAGAACCTGGAGGTATAAAAACAAGTGTTAGCTTTTTCCCAAACCAGTTCTCCCTCAGATTTCCTATTTTTGTCAGTGATATTAATCACTCTGTCACCCAGCTTTGAAATGTTGCTTTCACCCTTAATTAGTTCTTCCTCCTTTCTCCCACAGCTAATTAGTCACCATTCTTGTCAACTAATCCTTCATAATATTTCCCTGTATCCACCCCATCTCCTTAACAAATTGTTAGCCACATTCTCAAACCATCCCACAACCTCTTTCATCAATTCCAGTACTGTCCCTTCTTTGAACTCAACTTTTGCCACCTCTGACAACACAAGGTATATTGGCATTGATGCAGCATTAAAAAAAAAAAAAGAATGTTCAGTCTTCCCATCTAGATCTTAAGTTAACATAAAAGCAGGAACAAAATGTTATGACCTCTTCATTCCTGTGTTTACTAAATAAACAGATGACCAATAACTGTTTACTGTTGATAATGACTTGATTGCCCTTACCAAAAAAAAAATCACTATAAATATCTAGCTCTGGAAGCAGATTGAAATATAATCAAGTTGCCCCAAATTAATTTTGCATACTTTGGGGGACAGTTAACATTCAACCACATAACATGCGAGAGGCAACTGGGTTTTTTTTTGTTTTTTTTTGTTTTTGCGGTACGCGGGCCTCTCACTGTTGTGGCCTCTCCCGTTGCAGAGCATGGGCTCCGGACGCGCAGGCTCAGCAGCCATGGCTCACGGGCCCAGCTGCTCCGCGGCATGTGGGATCTTCCTGGACCGGGGCACGAACCCGTGTCCCCTGTATCGGCAGGTGGACTCTCAACCACTGTGCCACCAGGGAAGCCCGGCAACATTTTTTGAAAACATCAAACTTAGGGTTTGATCTTGTTTCTCCTATTAAATAGTCAGTATGCGAGTTTCTTAACTTCTAGTTTCCTTGCCTATTATACACCTGTGTAATGGAGTTTATTGTGAGGTTTAAATGAACTAATATCTGAAAGTGCTTTGAACATTTCAGAATCTGTAAGTAGAGAATCATGTCACAAAGTACCCAGAATCAACATCCATTGATGTTTTAAGATACAACTTTTGTTGACTTCCCAATTAGAAACCTCCAGCAATTTTATCAAGTTGATTGAAAGACCTGTTGTGTAATTACCCTACACCAAACTAACGTTACTTAGTTAACAGTTAATGTTCTATGCCCACAGCTGCTTCTAGTGAAGCCCCTACCTGGTGCCTGCCATTCTTGGGCTTTTTGAACAGGGGTCCAAAGATTCAGAAGGTTTTTTTCTAGAGGCCACATCATTTTTAACAGGTGTTATGCAATTTGTTAAGTGGGGATTCACTTGAACATAGTAAATTCTGTCTCCTCTTTGCCTGAAAACTACTTGCAGTGTCTCCGTGCCCCTTTACATCATCTCAGATGGGTAAGCCTACCATCCCTAGCACTGTGTACCCCCATAGCACAGATCATGCTGTCTTATAATGTGTTTATTTCTAAACGTGTCTGCCATGGGACTCTGTGGGCATCATAAAACAGAAGATTACAATTTATTTATTTACATATGTTTTCTTTTTTAAACAGTTCATTTATTTTGATATACCTGGCACTTAGCACAAAGCATGGCACTTAGTACTTGCTCAATAAATACTGAATAAATGAGCAAATGTGGAAGAGGTAACACTGCAGGTGATGGTGATGTTTTAGTCTCCTTTTTATTCTCCTTCCCCACTCCCCTACACTTAACAGAATAAATACTAAGAGGCTCCTAGCCCACAGGGCCCTTTAGGCCTGCTGGTCTAGACTTAGGCCTAGGCTTACCTCAATTTGTTGTCTCCAGAGCCACTCACACCCAGGGGGGAGCAAGGCTTCTGTGGAGATCCCTTCTTCTCCCACTTCTGTCATCTACCCTCAGGGGCCCAGGGGTTTCTTGTGTCATGTCTTCCCAAAGATTACTCTTCTCTGCCTGAAAAGAAAGAAACCATTTGTTACTTGCCTAATTGAAGAATAAATTTGCATACATTCTTCAACAAGTCTTCTATGCTTTTTTCATAATCTAGTGACTGGAATATTTAAAATATTTCCATTTTGTATCATATTTGAAGCACCATGGCTTTAGTCTTTTGAATTTAATTTTTTGTTTCTGAGTTGAAAGAGGCAAATAACTGAATGATAGGTGTGATGTAGATTTTAAAGCTTGTATTCCAGATTTTTTAAGTCACAAGAATGTAAGTGAACAAATCATATGATTATAAAATGGTTTAATCCAAATTCCAGGTATTCTTGAGAAAGCTACTAACCCTTCAGTTTTGCACATTTTAGAGGCAGACCATATCTCTATTCAGAAGCCTTTGGCATTAGCTGGGGTCTCCCAGACCTGCTGCCATGCTTCTGAAGGTTCCACTTCTCCAGAACCTCTGTTTTCCTTGTTGCTGCCCCTTGTCAGCAGCAGGGCCATGTGTACGACTGATGTGCTCATCTACGGGGCACCATTGAGACACTGAATTGTAAGCAGGGCATCAAGATGCGTACAATCAATGCCATCCAAAAGAAGCAAACAGGTACTTCACAGAGTCCTCTGAATTTTCAATCTTGTTTCAAAGTCACATAATTAAGGCCACTGTACAGATGTAGCCCACTGAGATTCACTCAGAGAGATATTGTCACTGGAGGTTCAACAGCCTATTCTTATCTGTGAATTTACTGATTGACCTCAGGGATAGAAAAGATTCTTCCAAAGCAAAATGGGATGACAGTAAGTGCTCTGGGAATAGCGCTGTGTCTATTCATCTGTGTTTAGGAATCCAAAAGCTGGTGAGAACCTGTAGCAACTGTGGCTTTGCAGAAGGGGCTGCAACAGCTCCCCCAGTGGTACTGCCAGTGTTAACTGGTGTGTGTTATGTGTGTCTCCTCCCTACAGCTATTGACCTGCTGTACTGGAGGGACATCAAGCAGACGGGGATAGTGTTTGGGAGCTTCCTGCTGCTACTCTTCTCCCTGACCCAGTTCAGCGTTGTGAGTGTCGTGGCCTACCTGGCCCTTGCTGCGCTCTCAGCCACCATCAGTTTCCGCATCTACAAGTCTGTTTTACAAGCTGTGCAGAAAACCGACGAGGGTCACCCTTTCAAGTGAGTGCCCCCACCAGACCAGCCCTTGCCCCACCTCTCATGTGGCTCTTTCATCTGCCTCTATTTCAGCTCCTGTGCACTATGGGTTGTGCTTCTCTGACACCTAACAGGCCTCATAGAGTCTCCTTTAATGCTCTCTCTCTTTTAATACCTAATGTTTCTGTTAAATTTCTAAAACAAACTCATTTATCTCTATTCTAACCCTTACTGATTTATTAGTAGTAATAAAGGGTTAGTAATAAAGTAACCCTTTATTACTACTAATTAAATATTAAATATTTATCTTTAATTTAAATTTATATAATATAAATTCTTTTGTGTTAATTTATGAAATGTGAAAACATTAAATTTATATTTAATATTAATTTTATATTATTACTAATAATAATCATAATTCATTATATGTATACAATGTTTTATAGTTTGAAGTGTTTCAACAATTATTCCTCCCAACTCTCTGAAGAAGGCAGAACATTATAATCCCTATTCACAGATGGAAAAACAGAGGTTCTAAGAAGTAAAGTGACTTACCCAAAGTCACATGGCAGTAAATAGCACAGAGCCAGGACTGGAGTGTTTGGATTTTTATTTCTCTGCTCTTTCCAGAAGTTTAAAATCAAAGGGCCAAACTTCTGAGGGATGCAAGGTTCGTGAACAGTATTATGCACCCTCTTGCATATTTTTATACAGGGGAAGTCTAACTAGAATGAACACTGAAGAGGAGGATTTTTTTAAGGCAGTGTATTAAGAGGATATATGAAATGTGGCAGAGGGAGATGTTAGCACTTCCAGCTGCATGCTCCCCAACTCCACCCCAATTTAGTTGTGAGTATAGCTTGTAAGCCCCAGGTATTTTAGCACTGACTGTCAGAGTCACCCCCTCACCTGGTGCTGGCCCCAGAGTGCAGGCCCCACTACAGGTGTCCTCACCTCCTGGAACTGACGGATATTTCTGCATCCCGAATGAGACCTGTAGATACTGCTGCATGATGGCTTCTGAGCCAGCCCCAGTAATTCACTGGGGATGCCTCTGAATTCTTCCTGGCTCACCCTCACCAGTCAGCTGAATCAAGGCGTCAGGGCACCAGGCTCTTAAAAGAGGGAAAAGACTCCTGTGTTATGGGGCCTTGTTGACAAAAGGGAAAATGCCCTGTTTCAGACTTCTCTTCCCAGCCTCTGGTTCCTGGCCTCAGTGTCAAACACAGTTACAGTCTGATCTTTCTCGCCCTTGGGATGTATTTGGCCTTCTTCTAATGCAGAGTTAATGGGTTTTCTAGGCCATAACTTGGTTACACATGTTCCCATCCCAAAAGTGGGAAGAATGAAGAAGTGGAGTGTCATTTTACCAGGGTGAACACTATGCCTACTTCAGTGACCCTAGCCTGTGACCAGTATCCACACTGTTAGAGTCCTGCCCTGCCCCAGCCCCTATCCTTAGCCATCTGAGAGAGGCTGGTTTCTGCCATGTTCTTGGATCCAAGCCTGTCAAGTTACACTGAGAACTCATCTCTCACTTCTCTTATTTCTTCTGTAACCACCCAGCTGTAGGACCAAGAGTCCAACTGTAATTAGCTCAACTACTTTATCTTCCATTAGGAGACATTTAAAATGTAAAACACCCCTTTGGCTGAATTGTTTTTATCAGCAAAAGGAATATATAACTCAGTACATTTTGAATCAAAACATATTATCTAGACAAATCAGTTTTTCTATTTTTTTCTAAAAAGCCAAGCATATAAACATAAATTCTCTAAAACTCAAGCCAAATTCTGTTTTACTCTTTTCTTCTCAATCCTCAGAGTTAGGTGAGCACTTTAAAAACTCTAGAAATATCCTCAAAATAGACAACATCGTAGAGTGGGGGAAGGAGAGAGAGAGGATGGGCCTGGGGAAGGGGGGAAATGGCCAAAGCAGGAGGATGGATTGATTTTTATATACTTGAAGAGTTTATCTACCCAAGAGTTCAAATTAACCATTTGAACAAATGGAAAATGCAATTACTAAAAATACCACTCTTACTAGAACCAGTGAGCATTTTAATATGGTGCAGCTCACTTGCATTTTCAGAGTTCTCTAGATAAAACCTGAAAGTACTTTCCAGAATTTAAATATGAAATCTTAGAGTTTTGATGACAGATAATAATTGGCAGGTAGGATTTTCAGATATCTCAGTTATTTAAAAAGACAATTCATCTTCATGCAGCCAGAAGAAAGGAAGACTTTCACAATTGCCTGGTGGGCCAGAGATATACAGAGAATTCAGCAAATGAGCTGGTTTGGATTGACTTTTCTCTGTTCTCAGCCAGTTGCTCTGAATTATCAGCTCACACTGTAATGTTGCCTATGGGAGACAGAAGCAGTCAGAGTGCCCCACTAAGTGCCGTGATTCCTGTGTTCCCCAATGCACCGGCTGTGTGTGTGTGTGGTGCCCTGTAGCCTTCTGGCTGGCATGAATCCTTCAGGATGACCGGGCTGTTATCCTCAGGGTTGGAAAAGGAAAACTTTGCTGTTTCAGAATTCCCTTTGATGGAGTTCTCTGTGGGGGTCCTTTGTTGACAGGGCCTACTTGGAGCTTGAGATCACGCTGTCTCAGGAGCAGATTCAGAAGTACACAGACTGCCTGCAATTCTATGTGAACAACACGCTTAAAGAACTGAGAAGGCTCTTCCTTGTCCAGGACCTGGTGGATTCCTTAAAAGTACGATTGCTTAAGGCGTTCCGTTTGACGGTCTTGGTTTTATTTTCCCTAACCGTGTAACATTATAAACTGCGACACAATGGAGAATAAAATAACAAGTGCTAATTATATTCTAGAGTCAGAAAATCTCCAGCTGTACAGTACCATGGAGCTCATCCAGTCTAATCCCCTCATTTTACAGATGCTGGAACTATGGTTCAGAGAGATTAAGATACTTGCCTGAGGTTGCCAAGTGAGTCACTGATAGAGCTGGGATCAAACCCAGGTCACACAGCTTCTAGTTCTGTACTTTTTACAATATCCCAGGTTGCTTCTCCTTACCATTTTCAATTCCTCAATTTCCTAAAATTATTTTAAAAATAAAAATCTAGTTTAGGGAATGTAAAAAATATATATGCTTTTTCTTTGAAATGCTGGACTCTGCTAATAATAAGACATGTGGGCTGTGAGACTGAACCCCTGAGGGTAGAGGACCTTGGGCACTTGGGTGTTATTCCTGGTGCCATCATTGAACTCATCAGGTTTCTTTGAACAAGCTGCTATGACCACCCCGTGGCTTACATGTAAAACCAAGGTCAATCAATCATGATTCAACAGGGCCATGAGCAGAGGGGTGGGAGCCCAGGCAAGGATGTTTTGAGTTCCCCGTTCCCCCAGAGCACTTTGTACACACCAGGGAGGGGTCTCCCATGGGCTGCTCCATAACTGAGGAAGAAAGAGCAGAAGGAAAGTGAGTGATGAGGCCTTAACCCTCAAGGTGCTTTACTGGAAGACTAAAGAAGAGATAGCAGGGAGATTTTAATTACTTACCGTAGGGCTTTTAAGGTGACATTTCTCTTGACATTTGTAATGTAAAAATTGTGGGCTAGAATAGGGATCAGCAAACCTTATCTATAAAGGGCCATATAGTAAATATTTAAGGCTTTGCAGGCTACACAGTCTTTGTTGCAGCTACTCAACTTTGCCTTTATAGCAGGAAAGCAGCCAAAGACAATATGTAAATGAATAACTGTGGCTGTGTGCTAATAAAACATTGTTTATGAATACTGAAAATTGAATTTCATATCATTTTCACATATCACAAAATGTTATTCCTGTTTTGATTTTCTTTGACTATTACAAAATGTAAAATCC